CCCTTAGCATTTTCTCCTTCATTTCAACCCTGGTGAATCTGACGATTACGTGCCTTGGGGTTGCTCTTCTTGACGAATATCTTTGTGGTGTTCTCTGTATTACCTGGAATTGAATATTGTCCTGCCTTGCTAGGTTGGGAACGTTTTCCTGGATAATATCCTGAAGAATATTTTCCAGCTTGGATTCATTCTCTTCGTCACATTCAGGTACACCTATCAAATGTAGATTAGGTCTTTTCACATAGTCCAATATTTCTTGGAGACTTTGCTCATTCCCTTTTACCCTTTTTTCTCTAATCTTGTCTTCTCATTTTATTTCATTGAGTTGGCCTTCGACCTTTGATATCCTTTCTTCTGCTTGGTCAATTCGACTGTTAAAACTTGTGCATACTTCTCGAAGTTCTCGTATTGTGTTTTTCAGCTCCATTAATTCACTTATATTCCTCTTTAAATTGTCTGTTCATGTTAGCATTTAGTCAAACCCTTTTTCAAGATTCTTAGCTTCTTTGCATTGGGTTAGAACATGTTCTTTTAGCTCACAGAAGTTTCTTACCACCTTCTGAAGCCTGATTCTGTCAATTCATCACACTCATTCTCCATCAGGCCTTGTTCCCTTGCTGATGAGGAGCTGCGATCCCCTGAAGGAGAAGAGGCATTCTGATTTTGGGTGTTTTTAGCCTTTTTGCACTGGTTTCTTCCCATCTTTGTGGATTTATCCACCTGTCATCTTTGTAATTGCTGACTTTCAGATTGGGTCTCTGAGTGGACGTCCAGCTTGTTGGTGATGATGTTATTTCTGTTTCTTTGTTTTCCTTTGGCGGACGCCCCTCCCCCACAGAGCTTGACCTTCTTGGGTTCAGCTGTGCTTGCTGTGAAACTCTCAACCCTCAGCGTTTCCAATTGCCGTTTATTTGTGGGGTTGGGACCAGCTGAGCCCGATGACCTGGTTTGCCTCCTCGGAGCCCCCTTTTTTTCTTTTCCTAATTGAACGGTAGATTCTCTCCCAGGTGCCCCAGTCGCTGGCTGAAAAGGTGCCGGGATCTGTGCAGTTTCCTATGTGGCGACCGTGCCGGCTGAATCAGCGGCGCTGAGATTCGTGGTGCTTTTCTGCCCGGGAATCTCCTGGTCTGGCTCCCGGCTTCAGTCCCCTTTTCAATCAGCTGAATGGGTGACTCTGCCTTCCCGGAGCTCCAAACGCCAACTAAAAGGGCATCCAGTCCTGCATACTCCGCACTGAGAACCGCCGCACTGGGGCACCAGCAAACCAGCCGCGCCCGCCAAAAGAGCGGTGCTGGCTACCCATGGGGCTCCTCTGCTGGGAATCTCCTGGTCCGTCAGCAGCAAAAATTTGTCTGGAAGTCTGGCATCCACTCACTCCCTGCGCCTTCACTGGGAGCTGCAATCCTGAGCTGCTGCTAATCGGCCATTTTGGATCTCTCCTGTTTTATTTTATTTTAGATACAGTCTTGCTCTGTCACCCAGGGTGCAGTGGCGTGATCTTGGCTCACTGCAACCTCCACCTCCCAGGTTCAAGCAATTCTCCTGCCTCAGCCTCCCAAGTAGCTGGGACTGTGCCACCACACCCGACTAATTTTTTTTGTATTTTTAGTAGAGACGGGGTTTTGCCATGTTAGCCAGGATGGTCTTGATCTTCTGACCTCGTGATCTGCCCGCCTCAGCCTCCGAAAGTGCTGGGATCTCAGGCATGAGCCAACATGCCTGGCTTACTATAGACTTTTAGATTGCATTAGTCAAATTGGTTTAACAGATACCACCACCATGTAAAATCCTCAAGGACTGCTTCTTGAGAATTTGTATTCCAGAGAGCTTTTATTTTTTATTGTAAGTGTTCTTGTTTTCTCTGAAGTACACACTTGTCTTTTACTGTGATTGTTTTGCTTACTATCCCTACTTTTTTGCAGATTTTCTATTTTGTACATACGTTAGTTTGTATATACTGTATATTATGATGACTTCAATGAGCAGTGACCATTGTCGTGGTGCTCGGGAAAAACCACAGATTTCAGCACAGTCAGTACAACCACAGAAACAAGTGGCACAGGTAAGCTTTTGTGGAACTCTTGTTTGCCTTGTTTAGAATTAAGAATATTAAGGTACATTTTATGATTTAATGTTTTTCTTTGTCAGAAAATTCAGGATTTTGGACCTTGTGTTTAAAAAGTAGGTAATGGCCGGTGTGGTGGCTCACGCTTGTAATCCAGCACTTTGGGAGGCCGAAGCTGGCAGATCACTTGAGGTCAGGAGTTTGAATCACTTGAGGTCAGGAGTTTGAGACCAGCCTGGCCAACGTCGTGAAACCCTGACTGTACTAAGAAAATACAAAAATTAGATGAGTGTGGTGGTGTGCACCTGTAATCCCAGTTACTCGGGTTCTAAGGCAGGAGGATAGCTGGAACCCGGGAGGTGGAGGTTGCAGTGTTCCAAGGCGATGCCACTGCACTTCAGCCTGGAAGACAGAGCAAGACTCCTTCCTAAAAATAAATAAATAAATAAATAAATTAAATAAATAAATAGCAGGTAATGAAGAATAGTAGGGGAAGAAGCATTGTGCTTGATACAGGTACAGTTGGATGTTGTTTCACGACGACTATTTAATCCTAATCTTTTCCAGGTACCTCTTAGCCACTAGGCTGCCACTGCCGCCGCCGCCTTCTCCCCCTCCCCC